TAGTCAATATAAAGGCCATTCAGAAATTACACAGACCTGTTGCACAGAAAAATATCTGAAAACAAAAAACAAAAAGTCACTGGTATTAAATTAAATCTTTACTTTAGTAGACAAAATTCCATTTTTAATGTAAGTTGATAATGCTTTCATTGGACCTATCATAAATTCAAGGCTCAGTTAAAGGATGTAAAGTCACAGTATCATAAAAAGATGTGCTTTCAATATATTCCCCTAGATTTATGTTTAATACACCATGTTGATTTCAGATTTTTATTTGCCCATCTTATGACAGGTTGTATTATGTTATTGCGTTCATGTCCGTCCATCTGTCTGTCTGTCTGTCTTACTGTTAGCTTTTTCGTGTCCATCTAATAACTCATGGCGTTCATCTCCATTCATCTGTCTAGCTGTCCGTTTGTCTGTCTGTTAGCTTTTTGTGTCCAGCTAATAACTTTAATACTATTAGGCCTAGAATTATCAAACTTTGTCAGCTGCTACATCCTGGTAGAACGTGTGCCACACACAAAAAGTAGGTCGCTCTGTCCTTTAGATGCTGTGGCCAAATATGTCTGGCTCATAACTAGAAAACTATTAGACCTAGAATCGTCAAAATCAAAAAGGTCACTGAGACCTTTAAGTGAAATTTAAAAAAAACTGTGTCTTTTTACCTTTTGAATTAGTCCAGTCATTCTACGATAAATGAACCAATTCAGAGTAAAAAACATGAAAAAAAAATAATTGTTTCAAATAGCAAAATGAACATCATAATTCTCTAAAGGACATATCAGTGAACTTGAAAACAAAGAATTGTCCACAAATCTGGTATCGTTAACTTTTTACGACAATTTCAAGATACAATTGATTTTAATGTAATGTTACGGAAGTTAATGCTTGATCAAGCATTATTTTTTTTGAATAAAGCTAAATTTGACCAATTTTTTGTTTCTGATGTTCAGTAAAGAACGCTAAAGTATGATTCAAGAAGTCTCGCATGAATCCGAATTTAAATTAAATTTTCGGGAAAAATATCGTTACGGAAGTTAATCGTTACGGAAGTTAATTCCCAGCAATAAAAGTTAAAATTCTCTTTAATAGTTAAAATCAAAGTTTGTTTTAGGATATTAAACAAAAGTATAAAGCATTTCGCTCCCAAAATAATAAAAAATTTCAAACATTTAATACAAAAACTTTCCTGAATTACCGTTACGGAAGTTAAATTTTTAAGAGAGACAACTGTTTTTGTCTATTTCATTTTGTTTTGTCGAAAATGTAATCGTCTAAAATAGCTGACTCACAACTAGAATCGATGATATAAGGTTCCGTGGTCACTTTCAGATAAGTTTCAGTTCTTTTTGAAATCAGCAATCTATGCGTGAAATTTAAAATAAAATCGTTACGGAAGTTAATCGATTTTTAGCGACATGCTTATGAATTCGCATGAATGGAGATCTATGCATTTCTTTGCGAGAAGTGGTTTAATTTCTTTTTATATAGGATAAAAGACAGTTTTTAATATTCATTGCAATCTATTCGGAACGATTTTACGGCTGAAAATTTCATCTTGAAATTTATAAACAAATGAAGCGACATTAAGATTTGCAGTAGAATACGTTTTTCAACATTACATTATGTTCATATCAAAACTTTAACTGCATATATATCGGTGAATATTTACGAAACCATGTGTGTATGTGAAGTCTTAGAGTTGAAATCGACCTTTAAATATATAGTTAAGATATTACAACGGTAAATTTGTAAGCAACATGAAAAATTCTTAATTGGTCATGTTTTTGTAGAATGACTGTTACACATTCCCAAAAAATGTAGGAGTATTGCAATATTCTTTATTAAAAATTGTTAAAACAAGAAAATACACATTTTTTTCATGATATACTTTACAACAATTTGTAACAAATGTAATGTTATAGAGAAATTCCATTTCTCCCATGGGTGTAATTATCAAGCACTGGTCAAGAAGAATTTTGATAGAAGAAAAATGCATGTCAAATTAGAGATAAATTAATGAGTTTAGTGGGAGGAGATAACTTGTAGAGCATCTCTGATCAAGCTGGTGTAACCTATATATCTTGAGAATTAGGCAAAGGAATCAATCTCTTAATTGCTTGTGTTGGATTAAATAGTTCTTCTTGACTAGCTTAACTTTCAAAATAAATTTGGTGTAACATCCTTACAACCTTAACATCCTTAATTTTTATATCTTTACAACAAATTGCAGAGTGTCATGTCTCACTAAGATGACAATTTTATAGACTAAGAATAAACATAATTTGTTTTGATGTTTTATTAGGTTGCAGCATTGTTAATCAATCATAAAATATGCAATAAACATTGAAGCTAAGGATAGGCATTTATTAAGCTCTAACACAATCAGCTGAGAAATATATGGTGTACAGGTAACTCTTGATGGCTCGAACTTCGATCTCTCAAAGTTCTTGATTGCTCGAAGTGAGTCTCCGGTAACTAATTCTCCCCCTATATAACTAAGCAAATTTACTTTTAATTTTCGAACTCTTGATCTCTTGAAACTCTTGATCCCTCGAAGTCAAAATGCAGTCCCGCTGTGCATATATATTAGAATATATTTACATTTCCAAATATTTTACCTTAAGATTTTTTGCAAATTAGAATACAGTTCATTTTCTCATGAACTACCATGGATGAGCATGAATATCTCCATTGTTACGTCATAATACCGTACTTGACGTCAAAACTATAGTGCAAACTGTTTTGCTTTAAAAATGACAGTTGAATGGCGTAATTAGTGGTAACTCATCAGAAATGAATGTAAATATAAGAAATGAACTTAATTTTTGAAAATTCATGAGGTACATGAACTACAACGCTTCACGCCGGCATATTTATCATGAAGCGCTAACGCGCTTCATGAAATATACCGGCGTGAAGCGTCGTAGTTCATGTCCTCATGAATCTTCAAAAATTAAATTCATTTCTTAATTACCCTCGATACCTCGAAGTGGCTATATGTGTATACAAGGTTATATAATTAGCACCTCTACCTGGACATTTAAATGGCGCCAGGCAGAAGACGTGGAATGGGGTGTTTATTCAGATGACACATGCTGCAAGGTGATAATTGACTTATAATTAAACATATTTTGCCTATATGTTATTAAAATAATTATCATCGACTGTCTTACGATAATTTAGAGACGCTGTGTCAGTAAAAGTAGTAATTAAATCAAAGACGAAACACTAAATAAATTTGATTTTTATTTCGAGTCAGTGTCAAAGTTAAACAAAATATGAAAAAGCAGAAACAGTCTCAATGTCAATAAGACGACTATTATTGGACAAATACTTACAGAACTGTGTTCAATGATCATGTTTGAAAAAGTAAATGCTATGTACGACGCTGTAAAATGTCATTTTCATGTAACGAATGCGTAGTATGATGTCCGTATTACAAAGAATAAATAAATATACATGAAATGACGATATACATTTTTTGCTTTACTCAGTTTAATGAAATATTCACTTAAATTAGGAAAAAATATCCTTGCTTTATAAAAACCATGTGTAAAAGGTTAGCACTGCATGAAAATCATTACATCCGGTAAGACTAATTTTAAAACCTGTCAACAAACCCATAAAATTCCGGACTCTTGAAAACTCGAACTCTTGATCTCTTGAAGTTTTTCCTCAGTCCCGCGGACTTGGAGGTATCGAGTGTTACCTGTATTTTTTGTTAAAATTGATACCTACATCACATAGGATGTATGTAGATCAAACATTACTGTAACAAGGAATGGAAAAATCATTGAAATATTTCTACCAAGGTTTACATGATTTTCTTGCACTCTAAACTGTTTATGATAATTAAACAATATTTGACTCGCCTATCATGCTGTGGCAGGGTACTTTATCAAAGATTTTTCCCACTTACAAGTTGTCCCAGTTTTTTGTCAGAATCTGTAGTCAATTTCAGATTAATATTCTATTGTATGTACCTTTGCTTCAAAGTATATTTCGGGTTTTGACATCTATATTTGATCTTTTATTAACACGCAATTCAAACAAAAACAAGATCATTAAAATCTGTAGGCAGTGTTATATGCATGTGGTAACCTTAGATCTTCTTTTCCTGCATGAGATTTCCTCTTCAAGAAAAAAATTACCAAATTTTCTAGGATTCGCCTTTAAGTTGACCATAGAGTAAAGGTTCAAAATTTTTCTCCCAAAAATCTGACTTAGGTGAGTTTAAATGTTATCAAAACCCAGATATGATGAGTTTTAATATATAATTCTTTTCCCAATACAGGTTTTCCTTAAAATTTAGCCAATTTTCCAAGTTCACAACCTTTTTAATTTGTTAGGGTAACCAGGTTACACTTGCAGGTAGGAGACAAGTATTGCTTATGCAATACTTTCACAATGCTTGTTTCTTAAATAACTGTATTTAAATAAAGTGCCTGACAAAAACATGTTCCAGTACAACACTAAACTGACATTTTTCTAGCAAAGTTTTTCTTTATTGCAGTTAAATGTTAGATTGAATTCATTTAGCAAATAAATTTTCAATCAAAATTATAATTCAAAAGAAATGAATCTAGATTTGCCAAAATGTGTAATCATTTGGTAAATTTATAATAATGAATAAGTAAAGATACCATTAAATAGATCTGACTGTGCATTTTTGTGAGCACAGATCATACTTCAGAGATAAAACATGTTTGTCTTTCCAATACAAGCCAACAGGAAAATCAATACTCATGGGCTGTTTTTTATATACTGTATACAGTGAAATCCCCCCCCCCCTTTATTTTCACCCCATTTGCCCTACTCACATGTGGGCGAATTTAAAACGGGGCAGATTCAAAGAACACGGTATAATTTCTTAAATAAAATTGTGACTGGGCAAATTTAAAATGGGGCAAAATTGATTGCAATGATGAAATGACGAAAATAACCCTGTATACAGTAGTTTCATATAGAGCTTTTTATTTTTTTTTTTTTTTCAGGTTAGAGTTACTTTTCTTGAAGTTAAAGAACCAAGTTTGGAGAAAATTCGAAATAGACCTGGAAATAGACCTGGATCTGTAGAACTGAATGAGGGTGAACACCCCATTTTTTACTACAGTAAGCGCTTTAACTTTTTACAGCAGGATGATAGGAAGACTCTGTTCAAGGCTCTTCTGCTTATGAAAATAATGCAGGATAGATTTGAGGCTGGTAGAGATGCTGCCAGAAGTTAATTGTTCATGAATGCAGAGTAGTTCAAAGGATTTACTTGTGATTTCAGTCAACTGAAGCATCATGAGAGCTTGTCTGAATTTCTATTCAGTGTAACTTTTTTATGAAGAATGCATAAAAAGCTGTATTTTATGCCTGAGTATTTCTGTGTTTATGTACAACATTAAGACTGTTTAAGCCCTATTTTGAGGTTAATATAAATCAGATGTACATGAATGGTACATTTATTAATTGGGCCCAATTGCACTGCTGCAAAGTTTGTAAATAAATAAATAAATATATATATATATATATATATATATATATATATATATATATATATATATATATATATATATATATATATATATATATATATATATATTAGTATATAAACTTGCGAGAATGTTTTAAACCGTGACCATTAATGGTACAAAAATCTAATTTCATGGACGTATTCAGACTGGAAAATGAGCTAGGGCAATTTTCTTGAGTGCGAACACATCAGGCGCATGACTCTTGTAGATTTTCTAGGGACAATGAATGATAACCGTCACTGGAATAAAAATTGAATCAATCAAATAACTTTATATGTCCCACTCCATCCTTTTTTAAACTCCTCTGTGTAACAAATTATGTTCTACATGTCCTAAGTTTTTACACGTATGCGTCCTAATAATACTACATTGTAATTTATTTAGTATTGCATGCATTCTCAGTTTTTCCTGGTTTAAAAGATGTTAAAAGTGAAGTTTAGGGCTTTATCATTTCCTCAACATGTTTTTTATTTTCAACAGCCATAAAAAAGCATTGCCTTTCATCTCAAAAATAAATTTTGTTCTGTATTGTACAAATACACCAGTGTCTGAAAAATGAAAAAAAAGTGATTTTACTTGACGTATACATTACTGTTTGAAGTTAACAGAAGGATTTTTTTATTTGATTTCGGGTGGTAAATAACTAGAAAACTTCTCATGACTTTGACCAAGGTCATTTCTTCAAAAGTCATAGATTACATGTAATAATGAATTTTGAGATACTCAAATTGGCACAAAATGAAAGTACATGTGCTTAGATTAAGAACAGAGAATGTGCTTTAGTCGAAAAACAATGGTTGAAGAAGGCCAAGGTATGGGGAGAAGGTTGATTTATAACTTTGATGATGGTACAAGGAATGCACTTTTTTATGTGTTTATTTTTTGTGGTGTATGTGAGTTTCTTATTGTTCGTTTTGTTTTTCTTTTTTTTTTTATTTTAATTCCGTTTCTTTCCTGTTTATCTTACTTTGAGACAAGGTCAATGGGAGCTTATGCTGCATTTGCAGCCAATTTTTTCAACATGGATGACTGCGTTGGAGTTTATGGAGCAGATGAAAGTTTTGGGAGAAGGTTTCAATCACAAGTAAGAATATGCACTACCTGGAACCAAACTTGCATGGATGATGCATCTAGAGTTTGCTATGGATACTGGATCAGACCTTCATTTTCCAGGTGAATGAACGTGTTAAGTATTTGGAGCAGGTCTTATTCCGAAGTAATTGTAAACCCTAGGGTGAAAACCTTAAAGGTTAAAAGTTTTGGAGCAGATCCTACCTAGGATAATGAATATAGGAATGCACACTACCAGTTTGCTTCAGATGCTTGATCTGACCTACATTTTCCGAATGAGTGAATAGATTAAAGTTTTTGTAGTATGTCCTTTCCAAAGTAACTATATGCCCTACCTAGACCAAACTTTCATGGATGAACATTATCAGACTTGCTTCTGATGCTGGATCTGACCTACATTTACCAGATGATTAAACGGGTTAGACGTTCAGGGAAAATCTTTCCAAAAATCCTTCAATCCATACGGTGATTAAACTTGCATGGATGATGTACATTTGTCTTGTAAGGATGCACATTACCAAATAAGCTTTGGATGCTTGATCTGGCCTCTGTTTTCCTTCTGAGTGACTACGTTTGAGTTACTTAAACATAACTATGTCAGATAACTAAAGGTCTTCGTCAGACAAACTAGCATATAAGGATTCACACTACCAGACCTGATTTGGATGTTGGATTTGACCTTTGAATGATGATTGACTGGTTTTTGCAATAGGTACATACCCAAATTACTGTTATTCCTATCCAGACCAAACTTGTATGGAATGTTGTATCTAGGTATGCAAATTATTTTGTTGATGTTTGATATTTATCATTGTATGTTTTGTTTCAATTAATATTTTCGTTAAAATATAGAACCCAAAAGAACATAAGAAAATATAAGGACTTGGTGTTTGATATGTTTTATTAAGTTAAAGTTTCATTACGTTCATGTGATAGATAGATATCTATAACGTTGCGAGAGAGAAAGGGGCAAAGTGTGTCATATTAGTTCATTTTTTTTATTCTTCATTATATGTTCCTTCTCAAATAAAATTGAAAGTGATGTAATGTTAATCTTATGTGGTGATGGTGGACTTTATAATATGAATATTTCATAAACATTTTAGTAATTTGTTGTACAATTATAAGTAACAGTAGAATAAATTACGAGTTAATTAAACCAAATTTAAATATATTTGGACTTGTTTATTTGTTTGGCATTCTTTTGTGTTTGTGGTGTCGTTTGTTTTCTTTTTTCTTTTTTGTCTGTTTTGTTGGTGTGTGTGTTGTTTTTGTTTTTTGTTTCTTTGGGGTTTTTTTTTTTTTGGTTTGTTTGTTTGTTTGTTTGTTTTTTTTTTTTTTTTTTTTTTTTGGTTATTGTTGTTTCGATTTTTTCGGTCATTACTGTTTCATTTCCTTTTCAATTCACCAGGGGAGAGTTCTATAGCTTATACATCTATATTTTATGCAATTAATCCGGCGTTGGCATCCTCGTTAAAGTTTTAGGAGCAGGTCTCATCCGCAAGTGACTATAAGCCCTACCTGGACCAAATTGCAAGGATCATGCATTATGAGATATATAAACTACCAGATTTGCTCTGGATACAAGATATGACCTACATTTCCTGGATGATATACCGTTCACGGTAGCTCAGTCGGTAGAGCGCTCGCTCCGTGATCGGGAGGTCGTGAGTTCGAATCTCGGCCGCGACAGACCTAAGTCGATAAAATAGGTAGCAACTGTTCCTTCGCCATGCGCTCGGCACTTTGAAGTGAAAGTTGCGGGTCCTTCGGATGAGACCTTAAAAACCGAGGCCCCGTGTCACGGCAGGCGTTGGCACGATAAAGATCCCTCACTGCTCAATGGCCCTGAGTGCCGAGTAAAGGTCAAAATTTGAAACCCTTCACCGGTATATGGTGACGTCTCTATATGAGTGAAAAATTCTCGAATGGGACGTAAAAACAATATACAATCCTGGATGATAGACCAGGTTAAAGTTTTTTAAGCAGGTTAAAAATTTTTGAGCAAATCAAAGTTTCAGGAGCATACATTTCAATGTAGCAAGCCTTATGGAGACAAAACTTGCATCGATGATGCATTTAGGGATACACAGAAGGGATTGCCAGAATGGCTTCGGATTGCTTGATCTGACCTACATTTTCCAAATGAGTGATCAGGTTAAAGGTTTTGGAGCAGGTCCATTCCAAAGTAACTGTAAACCCTACCTGTATAAACATTGCATGGATGATCCATCTAGGAATGACCACTTTCAGACTGGCTTCTTAGGCTGGACCTAACCTACATGTTTTTGATGAGTGACCAGGTAAAAGGTTTTGGAGCAGGTTCACACCTATGTATCCATAAGGCCTGTAGAGACTATACTTGCATTAATGATGTATAATATCAGATTGGCTTCGGATACTAGATCTTGCCTATATTTTCCGGATGAGAGAACATGTTATAATGTTTGGAGGAGCTTTATTCGAAAGTAACTGTAAGACCTACTTGGATAAACTTGCATGTATACGATGCATCTAAGAATGCACACTTTTAGATTGGCTTTCAGATACTGCATCTGACCTACATTTTCTGGATGAGTGTCCACGTTAAAGTATCTATAAACCTTGGTGACCAAATCTGAATGGATGAAGCATCTAAGGATGCATACTACCAAACTGAATGTTGAATTGGAAATATATTTTCGGTTGAGTGAACAGGTGAAAAGATTTGGAACAAGTTAATTTTCAAATAACTGTAAGCCTAATCTAGACCAAAGTTGCATGGATGATGCATCTAGGGATGCACAATACCCGGTTTGTTGGATAAAATTGACTTAAATTTTCCAGATCGATAAGTAAAAAGATTAAATCTCTACTTGCACCAAACTTGCATGGATGATAGGCAGGTCTTGTTTCAGGTTACATTTCTTGATGAATGAACAGGTCAAGCTTTATATGGACCAGAATTTCCTCAGTCTGTTCTTCATCACATGTGTACAATGTGAAGTTATAAATATATATGCAAAAACAGCGAGGTTTAATATACACGTACAACTTGTAGATAGTGATACAGGTATACTATATATATCTTTTTCAATCGTATTTATTTTTTTTTAAGTCGGGGGTACAGTTAGTTTGTCTAATAGTATATTGTAAGTACATTATTATATGGAGACATTCTAATTGTTTTAAATATTCATTAATTTATTTTTTATTAATATGTTCGACGGTCACCATACCATTTGTGTAAAAAAAATTCTTGATTCAAAAAAGTTGTGTGTGTGTGTGTGTAGGCTTTTGTAATTATAATGAATAATGGTTCAGTAGCGAATTTGATCGCAAAAATATCGCGAATATTAGTGCTTCACGTAAAGCCTGCAACACAGTAACATTTCAAATGATGGAGAACCCTGTGTAAGCCCTATGGTGATGAAACTTGCGTGGATGATGAGCTAGGGATGCACAAGACAGACATTCTTGGAGCCTTGATCTGACCTGCATTTTCTAGGTGAATGAACAGTTTATATATTTTAGGTCTGTTATATTCCCTAGTAACAGAAGAATATTGTTTAATCCCGTAAGATCTAAAATAATGTACACAAACATTTACAATTCCATGAAAGATTTTTTATTAATTCATTCCAAAGCATGTAGTTATGATATAAATACTAATATATCGAGTATTAATTGTGTAATCTTTTTTCTTATAGTATAGTTACTGTAATTCCTATCAAGACCAAACTTGTATGTTTTAATTCAGGGTTGTATTCTTAGTAAAGAGTGTGTTCAGATCGAGTTATCTGACTTTGATAATGAATGCACGTGTGGCTCCTTATTTATTTAGCATTACATTACATGATAATTTATTCCCGAATTGCACTTGGTGTTTCTCAATGATAAAGGACACACAGAACACCGAATGACACACTAGAGAAGAAGATAGCGAGTTTCTTGAAATTAGGATGATTAAATTAAACTCCTCGTTCTCAAAAATAAAAAAAGAATAGTATTTTGTAAAGCATATATTAAAGATTCCTTGCTATAATAATCTAAGGCAAATTTAGAGGTGAAAGAACTCTGATCTAACTAAAAATTAATTTTAATGTTTCATAATCCGTGTGAAAATAAAGCAAAATTGATCTTAAATACCGTCGGAAACGTATATACCTCCTTTGTCGTTACTGTTCCTAAAATACTCGTAAATTAAAGGACAAGATGAAAACAATACGATTTTTCTGATTTATAGCAATCACATGCCACTTTTTGATACAGAAAATCATAAATTTGACGTGGTTAAGGTCACCTTCCAGCAGACACTTATTTGTCAATGCGCATTTTGACATAAGTGACAAGCTATTTGTATAACAGAAGGGAATACTACAGTATCACACGATGGTCATGTTTACTTTTCTCATGTTTACACAAATTTCTTCTCTGCTTTTAAACGTTAAAGAAGTAAATGCTGACTTTTTTCTTGACTAAAGTATTTCGAACTGAAGTAAGTAAATTTTAATAAAAAGCTAAACTAAAATATTACATGAATATATAGAAAAAAAATTATCCCAACCCGTGTAATAAATAAACGAATTGTAAAAAGAAAAATCGGAAAATAACAATAACAACGATGTTTCTGCAGCTCTTCATAAATATCAAAAGTCGGTATGTACACTAAATTTCATAGGTAATTCTGTGCAGAGCACGTGCCCTACGTCATCCTGTGACGTGTACATTTATATCGCTTAGTCAGGCATCTAGCTCTGATTTTCAGAACATTCACATAAGATGATAGGACATTGAATGTCAACGTGCACTTTATCCACCATGACAATTCTGTATTCATAACAAATGTAAGTATTATTAAAGATTTTGAATTATCCTTTTTCGGAAAAGAAATAATCCGGAAAATCTAACCACCAAAATCATATTCAAATAATATTTTTTTCCAACTTTCATTTAGCTGCTCATAAATAAAACTAAGGTACTGTGACAGATTGCCAGCAAAGTTCCAAAAATGGAAAATGCCAAAAAACAGTGTGAACATGAATATGATACGCCAGTGTGTGTGCAGTGTATCTTGTCCAGCAATTGGAGAGATTCCCAGCTAGAACTTTTGTCGGATATATGTGACTCACTTGGTGGCTCCAAAAAGGAGAAAATACGTGCAGATTTGTTAGATTTAGAGGAAAACATCGGGCCTGAGTATGATTCAAATCTAGGTGAAGTTGAAGCTTTGCTTTCCAAAGTCATCAAACAGCACAAAGATAGGAAGAATGTTATCTTAGATTTAGGGGATGAATTACATAAGGTTGTTGACCTTGTCGTCAACAAATATCTGTCCGAAGCAGGAAAGATGGAAAAGGAAGATGTAGATTTTGTACAATCAATAAAATCGAAATTCAAGTTGTCAACGTCAGAAATAAAAGCAGCAATAAAGGAGTGTCGTGAATTTCTAGCTACAGATAACAATAAAAAATTGGCGAAATATAAATCGAAGAATAATAAATTCAAGAATATGCCCACAAGATATGAGCTGTCTGTCAGTAGGTTCCATCCACACCACCTCACTGAAGAAAGATTGTGTCAAATAGTTGGATCTCTACAATCGTCTGTCAGGAAGGAAATAAAGGCTCTGGAAAACAAGGCTTCTGATGCGGAACTCAGCTTAATTTCCAGCACAGACGTCCATAGCCCTGCTGAAACAATGCCGAAAGTCAGTAACGAAAGAAGCGAGCAAAAGAAATCAAAGGCTGATAGGCTAACAGAGCTTAATGACTTAATGGATTCCATTTCGCAGGCCACAAAAGACATGGCTCCCATGGACACGAGCCCAAAGGTAACAAAAAAGCTTTCTATTCCTAAAGAATTCAGCTCAAAAATCCCAACCAGTCAAAAGGGACAAAAGGACATTCGCTCAAAAACTGCAACGGAGGTAGAGTGCCCTTTGGAATCCAAAATGAAACCGACTTTGAACTTGAATGGTCACATCGAATCCAAGTCAGAGCCTTCAGATCGGCCAAGCAGTCCTGTGGTCTCTAGCTTACCAACAGCCACAGATCATAACGGCCACATGAAAGAGGAATCAGACCACAAAACCAAATCAGAGATAACCGTTTCTATTGAAAAGAGTCTGGAGATAGATGTTCCTACTGCATCGACTTTGAAACCATCTAAAGCTCCCAATTGTGAGACTGATCCAAAAGTAAAAAAGGAACAAGGGAGTCCTGGAGAATCCCCAAAAGTTACAACAGAAATTAATGTCCCTTTGAATTTCCACTCAAAAGCGACAGCAGAACTCGCCAAAGAAAGTCCTGTGAATTTTAACTTGACAGAAAAGCTAAACGATTTGACAAGTACGAGCCAAAGTGCCAAAAAAGAGGTCAAAACGTCAGTAGAATCAAGCTCAGAAGTAAGATCAGATCTCGTGAGTTTTGCAGAATCTACATCAAATGCTACCAAAATTACTAGTACCCTGTCGGAAATAGAATCAAAACCAAGGGGTGTGCGTAGCGACTCTCTTGACGCAAGTGGAATATTTGCTAATGTACCCAAAGTGATAGATATCTATGAAACAGGATATACTTACACCTATAAAATCGCTTGTGCCAGGAGTACAAATCAAATTTTCATCTGTGGCAATAACAAAGTCATAAAACAGATGACCTCTGGGGGTAAATTCGTAGAGAAAGCTACCATTGAATCTGGAAATCAACCCTTTGACCTGACACTCACAAGAGATGCCCAGCTTATCTTCAGTGATCATAATGGAAAATGCATCAACTTGGTAAAGAATAATGGCAGAATAGAGAGCTTGATCAAATTGCAAAAATGGTTTCCAATGGCCATTTGCAGCACATCCGTTGATGACCTGCTAGTTACAATGGAATCGCAGGATCTTGCCACCTGCAAGGTAGTACGCTACAGTGGATCAACGGTCAAACAAGAAATTCAGTACGATGTCAGGGGCGAGAAGCTGTACTGCCGAGCTGACTTCATCGATGAAAACAAAAACCTTGATGTTGTCGTATCTGACTTAGGAGCACGACGTATCGTTGTGGTTGACAAGTACGGCATTTTTAAGTTCAATTACACTGGAAACCTCCAGCCAGAGAGGTACAAGAGCTTTGGCTGCTCGGGCGTTACCACAGACAGCAAAAGCAATATCATTGTTGCAGACGAATATAACGATGTGTTGCATGTTATTGACCAGAATGGACAATTTCTCATGTATATAGACAATTGTAAATTACAGCGACCAGGAGATCTCTGTGCAGATAGTGAGGACATGCTATACGTTACAGAACCTGTCACCAACAAAGTGAAGAAAATCAAACTTTATAAATAAATGTGTGCAGTGCAACATATGCTTTGGCCAGAACATTGTTAAGTTAGAATTAACATTATTTAAGAAAGTTCATGACGTACATAGAAGTGAATGCCTTTGTATTAGAGGAGAAAGAGCTGACAAGCGACAATTACGAATAAAGTAGAATGTTAATGAATTTAAAAAAGAAAGTTAGACCACAAACGCTGCAAGATGTGAACTCGATGACACTTGTTGCTTGTCAAGCAAGGTATAAATTAATAGCAAAACCAGGAAATTTGACAATGTCATCTACAATGCCGCGACAAAAACACATTTCCATAATTTTTTTAACAGTCGCACAGTTTCATTTACTATAACCAGATTTATTGGAAAGATAATTCTGATGCTTTCTTTTATTGATCATGTCTTGAAAATATCCAAGAATAAGATTTGTCAAAGAGAAGCCATCAACATCTGTGATACCGTACATAATGAAAGTCCATGTCTTTGCAAAATAATAAGCATTGGCAATTTTAAGAGGATTAATGTACATGTTTATAACGTTTTTAGTTTGTTACATAAGTGCATCATTCAAATATTTCTAAACGTCAATTACCAAATTTAATTTACTTGTAATATTAATGAAAAAAGTTAAATTTCTGAAATGATAATTGTCATATGTAAGATTTTCATACTGTTTATGAATGGGAAGCACTTTGACAATGTTTCAAACAGCATGGCACATATTTCAAATGTTTTGTTTCTTGTAGCCAGGAAAAGGAAATTAATAAAATACATCAAATCTACATTTTTTTAATCATTTTTTGTAGAAATAATATGTACATCAACACGAACATGGTATTAACTTGGATACCGATTTTTTTTCTATGAGAGGTCCATAAAAGTTTAATAGAAAAGCAATAGTGATTTGTATTAATGCTTATCATAATCATTAATGATTTATCTAAACCTAGTCGGAAGGACAAGAATTCTTAAAGCAGTATCCAATTTCGATAATTGAATTTGCTCCAATAAGCACTTGCACAGTTAATATGGTGAAGTCCATTTTACGATGTGTATGAAACGGTGCTACATGAAAGGTGCAACAATATATTAGAGAAGTGGTGTAAATCAGATGTGGATACTTAAAAATTCCAAGGAACTTTTGGAAAATTTGAAATCACAAGATTTTCCCAAAATCAACAGCTTAAAAACTTTCAACTTTATAAACAACCATTCCCCACGATAAATTAAAGTCCAGGCTTTTTGATATCATTGACAGCTGCTTTTTCAATAAAAATGGAACTCGTAAATTTACTTACCTTGTCATTGGTCATTTGCAAAATTATTTTGTTAAAAAACATTCTGATTGTACACACAAGTACTCTGAAGTTAACCTTAAAAAGATGCTTGAGTTTCTGATTGACAATATCTATGTGGTTTTTGGAGACCAGGTCTTCCAACAATCTATTGGAATTTCCATGGGTACCAGTTGCCCCCGTTATCAGCAGACCTTTTTTTGTATTCATAAGAAGCAGAATTTGTCCAAAATCTTGTACGTGAAAAGAAGAAAACACTTGCTGTGGCCTTCAACTCGACAGTTAGATATATCGACGACGTATTGTCAATTAACAATGGTTATTTCCGTTCTTATGTCGATACGATATATCCCGGTGAGCTTGAGATGAAAGATACCACAGAGTCTGACACATCTGTTTCATATTTGGATATTTTACTTGAAAAAGGTGTTAATGGTAATCTAACAACCAAGCTTTATGACAAACGTGATGACTTTAACTTTCCTATCGTCAACTTCCCTTACTTATGCAGCAATATACCTTCATCACCTGCATACGGGGGTTTATATCTCTCAGTTGATTCGATACGGAAGAGCATGCTCTACGTATGTACAATTTCTAAAACGAGGTAAATTATTGACAAACAGGTTGATGAAACAAGAATATCAGCAGTCTCGTTTAAAGTCATCATTTCTAAGTTCATTTATAAGTTCTATGGTCGATACAATAACCTTGTCAGCAAATACAATTTATCATTGAGTCAAATGCTGACTGGCGTTTTTCATACTAATTGTTAGGCCACTATTTACACACTGAATTGTCGTCGGATTTTTCCGTTATTTCATGATCATGACAAGGAGCACACGGCGGGTGTGATCGGTCGGCCGGGGATGCTCACTCCTCCATGGCACCTGATCCTACCTCTGATGTTTTGGGGGTCCGTGTTTGCTTTGCTCCTATTTTGTATTGTTTAATGGACTTTTGAGCTTGAATATTGTTCGTTATCTCCATATATTTCATTCAAATATAAGCTAATTATTTTCACGAATCAATTCATTTCCCTACTAATAATAAAAATAACGCTTTATATCCCAAATATAATTGTAATCATTATTGTTATCAAGGAATTCTTATGCCGTTTTAATTACCAGTAACATTCAGCAGGTGAATTTTAGTGAATATAAAAGAAAAAATTGATACACATGCAGACCTTAGATGTACAGGTAAGAATTAAGGATGATAAATAAGAAATAAAATATGTGCCAGGCGTTATATAAATGCAGCAATATGATTTATGCAAACATGTCACTAAATGTTAGCCACATTAAATTGTCTGATTCTTTGAGAATAACAAACAGAGAAAATGTGAAATGAATCTCACCGATAAATATATGAAGAAAACTACAATTACATATGCAACAATTGAAAATTAACTTGTGCCATTTTAATGAGAAAATAACGCATGATTTAATCGAATATTGGCCATAAATTTGAAAATTTTAATACAAGTGAAATATGTTTCCATACTAGTATCTGCATGAGTATAACAGTTTCTCTATTTTCAGCAAATCAATAGCAATGACTAAGTATGAATTATATAATCAGGAACAAACCAATATCCAATAAATTAAACTCATTTTTCTAACACTTGACGCACGTCAACAATCAAGCATTCATAAAGTTCGTTGTAATTTATGGAACCTGAGTTACTTAGTATTAGCAAACATTTTCCAATTGTACACTGTAGTTCTGTAGGCTCTAACGCACAAAAATGAAAGATTTCTACTACATTCTGTTTGCATTTTTGTGATTTATGGTACTATATATATGTTTGTAATCGATAGTTTATTTCTAAATGGCAAAACTTTTATATACTTTTTTCAGTAACGCTCAAATATACCAACTATTAGAAAACGCTATGATAAGAAATGACTCTAGGGGGATAAAACTATCTTTGAGGTCAAGCGCATATTTGTCATGACAGCATCTGACAAATGGTCAGGCAAAATCTATCAAAATAGTATAAACAAAAGGGCCCAAACGACGCTAACAACCACCCAAGCAATTAATCCAGTCAAGGGTTAAAATGTTATGGCCTGTACATGCTTCTGTACCAAGAGAACTACTGTTATTCCAATACTGTGGAATCATTTTAATTCGAGGGAATCATTGTTCGTGGGAAAGCAAAATTTTACATGTTCGTGGGGACGCAATTTCGTTCGTAACTCGTTTATACGGTTGATTTAATGAATTAATACGTTTACAAAAAAATGTGTGGATGTAAATTCGTGGGTACGGGTGACCTACGAAATCCACGATCTTATATTGGTCTCCAAAGAACAGTGATTCCACCGTAAATTTCCCTAAATTGGGGAATGTTTAGGATCTAAACACTTGAAAAAACGAAAGATGTCTATTATCTTATTGTTATTTGACAATACGTCGTCGATATATCTAAATGTTGAGTTGAAGGCCACAACAAGTGTTTTCTTCTTTTCACGTGTAAGGGTTTGATTTTTTTGTAATTTATGGTACTATATGTGTCTGTAATCGATAGCTTTTTTTTAAAGAGGCAAAACAGAAACTTAGTCTTTTTATATACTTCTTTCAGTAGCTATCCAAAATACCAACTTTTAAAACCTCTGAGAGGAGAAATGATTCTAGAATGAAATCATACAAAAAACGTATATCTCTGAGGTCAAGGGTATATGTGTCATGACAGCATCATTCTGACAACTGGTCAGGAAATATCTATCAAAATGATATAAACAAAAGGGCCCATAGGTGAAAGAAATGTTATCGTTTTAGCAATATAGAGCAAATCTTATTTTGAGCAGATACGTACAAAACTTATTCAAGGTAAAACAATAAATCTATTTTCTATGAAATGAAAACCACATCAACGTTTAAAATTTAGATCCGTCATATTAAAAGCACCAAGGCTGATTTTTTTTTTCTTTAAAGTAAATGAATAATGTATTTTGATACCCTGTACAGGGTAACAATACTCTAGTCATCTTTTCGGCTGCATTCTAGGTACAAAGGGAGGAAAACACCAATTTTATTCCTTTGCCCCCCCCCCCCCCCCCCGTCATCATGACACGATCCTGATGGCATACACAAATGTACAAATTTCTAATACAATTAATAACAATTATTTATTATATTTTGAATCTAAGTTGTCAATTATTTTTCTTGCTCTCATCCCCTTTCTAAAACAATATTACGTGCCTATAATGAGATAAAAGGCGAAGTGAATATTTCCTATGGAGATGTAGGCACAGATATATTTAAAAAGCAGCAAACATAAAAACTTAAAACAATTAGAAAATTTATTCATGTCATTTTTAGAACACATCAAGAGAAATATAAGTACTTGTACTTCTTCAGAGTACAAAATTTACACAAGGTCATCAGGTATGCACTTGATACACTTCAGTAATTTGAAGTCAATTTGTAACAAGATACACTGTACCATTCTGAATATTTTGTTGCATTTTTTAACAATATGCATGATATACTTCTTTCATATCATCAAAAATAACAATCATTTTGCACTTTTACTAAAATTGTTGAACATGTATCTTCATTGTCATTTTATCTGCAGGAATAACAGCTTTATTATTTATTTTTTTCAGATGATCAGAAGATGAATTGATATATTTAGTTTACATGACATACTCTGTATAAATATCCATTTTTTGAGCTGCATATTTAATCAAAATATATTTGTATAAAATATATCTTGATAATACTAAATTTACATGTACATGCTCAAGAAACATGAGAAATGAAATGTTAATATGTCATCTTGTAACAATGTTACTGATGGTACTTATCTTTACTACATTTATCTTCTCTGATTAGTTATATAGAGGATCTAGATACATGTATAAATGTACATGTCTTATAAACATCTCATAAACTTTGTAAAATCAACAGTCAAGAAATTCTTTTAAAGAATTCATAAACAATCATATAGAATGATGATAATGATATCATTCAGAACAAATCAAGCGTTTCTTATTTTTTCACATTTAGACAAAGAAGAAAATTCTTTCAATGATGAACACCATTCACATATCTGGATAAAGATCACTAAGATACTCAATTCAATTTCATAATTTACATTTATTATGTAAAAAAATAAAGTTAACATGCTATTTAGGTTAGTCATGAAAGTAATGCACCATATAAGTTGGAAGATATAATCATGACAAATTATAAAGGCAGTTTATGAAAAACTGATAATTTAAAGGGGCCTGGGCACAGTTGCATTGCCGTGTTGTTCACAATTTTAAATTGCTAATTTGATTCAAAAAATAACTTTAATGAATTAAAATTACATGGAAATTCTTAAAATTCAATTTCTGATCAACGATATTCTTCATAACATAATGTCAAACATCTGTGTTTGTACACATGGGTAAGAGATCTATAATTGTTAATGTTATGTTTTACCTGCACACATAACTAAACATAAACTGACAACACTGGTGTGTTGATTTTCTGGATTATAATTTTAATATTTTTGATTACTACACAATATATTTTCCACTTTTTTAAAAAAAAATTAGGATAAATTTTACTTGGTGAAAGTGCAACGATGTATGTAAATCAAACATGAGACAAAAGCTGTAGTTTCAATAATTTTCAGATAAAAGAAGTATTTTCTAATATCATTCTGAAATGTTCTATCAATAGGTAAGTCATGACATTATACTGAATATGCTTCAAATCTGTGTCCAAGCCCCTTTATGACCAAGATCAAAAGACATGCATAGGTAACAAAAGTATTATAGTGAGAAACCATAATGCTACTTTCATAAACTTACAAAAGAATTTAAATCAAGTATGAACCTTCAGGTTAAAAGTCATGACTGGTGATGATGGCTGGTATACAAATCATAGATTATCTTTCAGTAAAGCAATAACATGTCAATTTTGAACTATCAGAAGTCTGTCCAGAAATAAAGAACATCTGGTAAAAAAGGGATATATACCACTTTGAAAAAGAAAACAAATTTTAAAAGGTTAAAACATATTCATGTCTATGTCACAACAGCATCCAACAAAAGGTCTGACAGGCTAATGTAATTGCCACATCACTTTAAGCATAGACCCATAGAAAGGGAAAAAAAGTTTTAACTTCAGAAAGAGTTATTGAAATGGAAATAGATTAAAAGGACAAGAAAGATTCGGGGTAATATAATATGCCTATTATCCATCATTGTGAACTGTGAAACATAAATAAAAAATGAAATCAAAATTAATCAATCTACCACACTGACATTTAAAACTAAATATGTAAGCTATATCATATTTATAAGCAAAAGACAGAAATATTTGGCTTTTTAACTAAATGTTTATCTTTCACACCCAGTCTCTGGGCTGTTTTAGTACTTGGACCATCTTCTCCTCAGCTGAATTTGGAGCTGGTTCATGTCTATATTCCCAATTCTACAAAACAAATAAAAAGCCTCAAATACCTAATAATATGAAAAAATGTAGATATAAAATGATAAAAAAAAAACCTGTACAACTACATGGTGTCTAATTGTTTTGTCTTTTTTATTCATTGAGCTTAAATTGAGGCCAATCAGATTGAAGGTTTTTTTTTTTTTTGAATGTGTCATTGTTTCTTAAGAATTGACTATTGGGAATGACGTGTGTGTAATGAAAAAAGATGAAGATAAAGAACAGTGATCAATTTCATAAATCCTATAAATAATATTAAAATCAAGAACAAAGCAAAAACATGGACCCCTGAAAACATAGGAGGTGGGAACAGGTGCCTTAGAGGAGTAAGCATCCCTTGTCCACAGGACACACCTGCTGTAAGTCCTCTGCTTTGATCAGGTATATGGAGTAGTCTGTAGTCAGGATTAGTTTAAATGCAATGGCCTAACAATTGGTATGAAACACATCAGTTAAAATTTGCCTCAATGATAGGCTATATTTGCAAATTAGGTCAGTATAACAACCAAAGAATTTGTGAAACAAAAATTGGGAAATCCCTGTGATATCAACTTATTTGTCATTCATCCACCTCAGTTTGAAAATTGATTGTGCACAGATTAAGCTCTTGTAAACCAAAGAATCTTTTCAATGGACTAGATAGCATAAAATTTGACTTTTTACAGTTCCCAACCCATATTTTCTGGATTGATAGGAAGACTTTTCACTTACACTGTACCTTCAATAATCATAATGCTATTGGTGTAGGCAACAACATACATATATTTTTGAGTTTGAAGTCCTTCCAATTAAGGGTTCAAGAATTATGCTCTTAACATGATTTTGTGGCAGACAGAAATACAGGTACTCCCAAACTAAAATCTCAGCTCTACCCCCATCCCCATTGGGAGAAACGCAATTACATAAAATACCAGAAGCTTTTAGCACTTGATAAAATATGTTCTCCATCATCGCACTTACTGCTGTGTTGGGTAAGGACATTAGAATACTCTCATATCTAGCTCCTGGAGTCTGTAGACCAAACTTTGTCCCTCTGTCATAGATCAGATTAAATTCTACATATCGACCTCTCCTTAAAAGCTGCCATTTTCTACAAAAAGAAACAAATGCTAATAACGTACTTTTTAATGTGTGTTGATAATAAACTGATTAGCTAATATACCCAAACTGTTGAGTATGGTGTATAAAAAAAACGCATATACATAATTATTCATTAACAAAATTCAAAGGTTGAAATTCCTGTTCAAACACAATTGCACTTATTCTTTAGAATAGGGATGTCAAAATATTTATTTTCCTTAGTCGATCATTTGATTGCATTATTCGAACGATAGTCGAATATTTGGAACATTTTCTGAAAATAAAATTTTATTTTATACTTCATTGGTACATACTCAGAAACCTTTTTACTTAAATCTATTTAAAAAGTAACATCAAAATTAATGTAACGTAACGCATGGATAGGGATAGCATGATTCTATGAAATAAATTTAGAAACCTAATTCTCCAAAATTTATTATTTCCCTGTAAATAGAATTCATAAATCGGCCTGTACATGCGGTCATTTTTTATTGAGTAAGCATTAAAAAATTACCAGCCGATATTTTTTAAAGCTTATTATGAATGGAGGAGGGGGGCTGTCAAAATGTCCTCAAACAGTTTAAAATGTAAGTGCATTGTTTTAATAATTATCGAAGTATCAAAACAGCTTTATTCCTTGCATTTGAGCAAACTTAAAATAGCAAAAGATAATTGTCCAGTGAATAATTTTACAAACAAAGCCCATTATATTGGTTGGTAATTTATTACAAAAACAACACAGGCAGTAACTGACAATTAATTCTCGCAGTACATGTAGTGAAGCATTTATAATTGCTGTACTTTCTATACGTACATGGAAAATCTACCGTTTTTTGTTGAGGAAAATTAATGACTGTCTATGAGAAAAGACTGTTTCTCATTTTTTTGATGAGAATTCCATCTCATGTATCACTCATTTATTGCATTTATTTAGTTTAAATAATATTCGAATGTCGTTTCATTATTCGATCGTCGGTCCATTCGACTGATAGTCGAATAGTCAACTATTCGTTGACATCCCTACTTTAGAACCACATGTATGTTCCTCCATTTTTAGGTCACCTGAGTCACTCAGGTGACCTACTGCTATCTGTTTTTGTCCGTCTTGGTGCGTCGTGCGTTAACTTTTGAACATTTTTAACTTCTTCTCTAGAACCGTTCAACCAATTTCAACCAAATTTGGTATATAGCATCTATGGGTGAAGGGGAACAAAAATTATGAATTTCATGGTCCCTGCCCCCCCGGGGCCTGAGGGGTGGGGCTAAAACCACCAAAAATAATGCAATCTTTAAAAATCTTCTTCTTTACTCCTGGACATCAAGCAGTCAAACTGTTGGCATCATTGTAATAAGCATTGAGCCCTCTACCAAAATTGTGAAATTCATGGCCCCAGGGTCAGGGGTTCTAGCCCCAGGGTGGGGCTATATAGATCATGTAGTGAAAGTGCATTATTTCTTTGAAAATCTTCTTCTCTGCTCCTGGGTATTAAATAAAGTTACTAAGTACATAGTTATGATGAGCAAGAGTGCCTCTTCCAAAATTGTGAAATTCATGGCCCCAGGGTCAGGGGTTCTGGTGTTAGGATGGGGCTCTATTGATTATATAGTGAAAATGCATTAATTCTTTGAAAATCTTCTTCTCTGCTCCTGGGCATTAAATAAAGGAACTAAGTACATAGTTATGATGAGCAAGAGTGCCTCTTCCAAAATTGTGAAATTCATGGCCCCAGGGTCAGGGGTTCTGGTGTTAGGGCGGGGCTCTATAGATTATATAGTGAAAAAGCATTAATTCTTTGAAAATCTTCTTCTTTGCTCCTGGGTATTAAATAAAGTAAGTAAGTACATAGTTATGATGAACAAAAGTGCCTTTTCAAAAATTGTGCAATTCATGGCCCCAGGGTCAGGGGTTCTGGTGTTAGGGCGGGGCTCTATTGATTATATAGTGAAAATGCATTAATTCTTTGAAAATCTTCTTCTCTGCTTCTGGATATTTAATAAACTAACTAAGTACATAGTTATGATGAGCAAGAGTACCTATTCCAAAATTGTGAATTTCATGGCCCCAGGGTCAGGGGTTCTGGTGTTAGGGCGGGGCTCTATCAACTATATAGTGAAAATGCATTAATTCTTTGAAAATCTTCTCCTCTGCTCCTGGGCATTAAGGTGATAAACTAAGTACATAGTTATGATGAGGAGGTGGGCCTCTTCCAGAATTGTGAAAGCCATGGCCCCTGGGTCAGGGGTTCTGGTGTTAGGGTGGGGCTCTATTGATTATATAGTGAAAATGCTTTAATTCTTTGAAAATCTTCTTCTCTGCTCCTGGGTATCATTTAAACAAACTAAGTGCATGGTTATGATGTATAAGGATGCCTTTTCAAACATTGTGAATTTCATGGCCCCAGGGTCAGGGGTTCTGGTGTTAGGATGGGGCTCTATTGATTATATAGTGAAAATGCATTGATTCTTTGAAAATCTTCTTCTCTGCTACTGGAGATTATTTAAACAAACTAAGTGCATGATTAAGATAGACAAGGATGCTTCTTCCAAAATTTTTAAATACATGGCCTCAGTTTTTGGGGTTCTTGAGGAGGGGGGGGGGGCTCTATTGATTGTATAGTGAAAAAGCATTAATTCTATTAATTAATCATTAATTAATCCTGTCTGCTCCTTAGTGTTGAGCTGATAAATAAATTGCTTAGCTATGATGAAAATGAGAACTTTGAACAGAATTTTTAAATCTTGTGGTCCTAGGGTCAGGGGTTCTGGCATAACGAGGGGGGGGGGGGGGGGGGCTTTTGATAATATAGTGGAAAAGTGTTAATTCTTTGAAGTCCATAGTTATGATGATGAGGGTAACTCTTCCAAATTTGTAAATTTCTTGACCCTTGGTCTTGGGTTCTGGTATTAGGGTAAGGCTTTGTTGAATCTGTAGTGAAAATGCATTGTACCTGTGAAATTCTTCTCTGTTTCTGGGCATATTGGAAGCAAACTGAGTAAAAGTTTAAATGATATGAGTAAGCGTATTTCTACCAGATTTTTAAACATCTGGACCATTCGTCTAAGCATTCTGGTCCTGGACAGGGCTCTATTAACTTGTATTCTACTGAGAGAAGTTATTCCCCTTTTCCATTCACCTTTGATAATTAATCACTGTAAATAATGTATTTGAAAGGTTAATAGAATAAGATAATTATGCAAGAATGTTTATCGTATAATTCAAAAAGTACTTTCTTAGTTTTAATAATCAGGTAGACCTGTAAGTAATAGATAAATAAAAATGAGACAAAAGTAACTTATCTCATTAAAAGTTCTTCAAAGACCATAAGAGAGGTCAATGCTAGAGGTCTTAATATGGGTTTAAAAATAGTACAGAAGCACTAATAGTTTGTTAATAGTCTGCATGGTGATAGTGTTAAGTGGGGACAGATGAGAACTTAATTTATGAGTTGATACTGAATACTAGACTAATTATTTTGTTGATCCTGATCTTCCTACTTCTCTTGCTTTAGGGCAACAATGCGTCATCTGTCAGTTTATTTAACTTCTAAATTGTTGTATTATACTCAGGTGACCGTTAAGGCCCTTGGGCCTCTTGTTTAAGAGGTGTTTTGCTTAGCAAAGACAAAACAAGGAGGTTTGAAGGAGGTTAATGTTGACATTTGTTACCTTTCTGGATGAGAGTAGCCATCATTTTTGTGTCTCTCTACGATTGGAATGTAGGACGGTAAAACAGCATCAGCACAAGTCTGTAACAAGAGAGACAACTCTGTTCATAAATGTTCTTTAAATTTTGGATTACTCTCTTTTTTTTCAGAAAATGAACAGTAAGTGATAATTATTTCTAAAACAACAGCTTTGTATTTTCTATTGATCTAATTTGGTGAGAAAAAAAATGATGTGCTAGCTGCATCGGAAAAAAAAATTATTGAAAAAATCTGTCTGTAAGCAATGTTTTTTTCCTCTCAATTTTCATCCTAATACATGTAAATTCAATGGACATGTAATGTACCTGTACAAACTCATACATATCACTTTGAGGTTCGTTGTCTAAATCATCAAAGAAAATTCCTCCTATGCCCCGTGTTTCACCTACAATACATACATTAAGATTTCAATTCACAAAACAAAATGGAAAGTATCATTGTAATAAAGTCAAATCCAGATTATTATAGACATGTAGAAAGAAAATATTTACCTCTATGAGGAAGATAAAAGTACTCATCGCACCACTTCTTAAACTTTGGATAAAATGTTTTATTGTGTTTGTCACAAGCTTCTTTTAGTGTTTTGTGAAAATGAACAGCATCCTGAGGACAGATTAAACTTCATAAATTGCCATTCTATAGCATTTATAATAAAACATACTTTCTTAGTTAGCAAATAAATGTTCATATTAATAAACACATAGAAAAATTATCAAGTACAATTTTTTTCATATTAACAATACTACCTCTAAAAAAAAATGACCTGTAAATCCATTAAGAGTTGGGATCTAGTGGGTACTATTTTACAAAAGAACTTACTACTAAGACCATAACGTAACTTGCAATAACTTTCTTCCGTGCATTAATTAAAAAAAAGTATTTATCTTTTTAAAAAGACTTCTGAAAGATATTTTTATGCAAGCGGTTTTTAACAGAATGATTAATTTTCAAAGACAGCAGCTAAAATTTTGGTTTTATTTGTAAGTTCTTTTGTAAAATGGGGTCCAGATTGATATTTTACACAAATAATACTCTGATCAACCTAAAGATTCTAAACTTTAAATATGCTTTATGCATGAAAGCATTTTTTCTGAGCATATAACAAACCTTTTCATAGAGATAATTTGGTGTCAGATCTGTTCCTCCACCAAACCACCAGTGGACTTTTCCTTTCTCATCCACCACCTCAAAGTACCGATAATTAAAGTGGATCGCAGGCACATTAGGATTTCTCTGGAATTCAGAAGTACATGTACCTCAAGTATTCAAATGTAATTCATAAATTCCATTAAACACTAGTATTTCTTTGATCTGTGTAATCGATGAAATCAGATACTTTACGCTATCAATGGTATTTCCTATTTACATCTTACAAGAAGTAAACTATCAGGTATCACAAGTAAAACTTACAGGATGTAAACATGCAGTGGTATTCAAGTAACACTTACAAGATGTAAACTACCAATGGTATTGTACGTAAAACTTACAGGGACTGGGTGTACAGTTCAGGTTGATTTCATGTGAAACTTAGAGGTATACTATTAGTGATACTACAGGCAAAACCTACAGGGTGTAAACTTTCAGTGGTATTACAGGCAAAACTTACAGGGTGTAAATTATCAGTGGTATCACATGTCCACGTAAAACTTACAGGAACTAAATTCTCCGTGGTATTACGCTAGACTTTCAGGATGTAAACTAACAGAGGTATGACAAGTACATGTAAAACTTACAGGATGTATACTTTCAGTGGTATGACATGTATATGTAAAACTTACAGGGTGTAAACTACAAGTGGTATAGCATGTAAACCTTACAGGGTGTAAACTATCAGTGGTATTACATGTACATGTAAAACTTACAGGGTGTAAATTATCAATGGTATTACATGTACATGTAAAAGTTACAGGATGTAAACTATCAGTAGTATTACATGTACATGTAAAACTTACAGGGTGTAAACTATCAATGGTATTACATGTACAAGTAAAAGTTACAGTATGTAAACTATCAATGGTATTACATGTATATGTAAAACTTACAGGATGTACACTTTCAGTGGTATTACATGTACATGTAAAACTTATGTATTACATGTACATGTAAAACTTACAGGATGAAAATTTTTAGTGATATGACATGTACAGGTAAAACTTACAGGATGTAAACTTTCAGTGGTATGACATGTACATGTAAAACTTAAAGGGTGTAAACTATCAGTGTTATTACATGTTAAGTCTTACAGGATGTATGACACAGCTGACTCCAGTGGCAAAGAAAGGTAATGTCTTGCCCTCCAAAGCCCTACCTCTACAACAGAAATATATTTGTTTTTTAAATGTTTCATTACAAAAGCATAAAAAAATTCAGCTAACAAACAACAAGAATTTGAGAACAACAATACTATTATATTAAATAAAAAGAATCTTACCTGGCTTTCATTTGAGCCACAGCTGGAGGGGGTAAGTTTCCGTGTACTACCGAGATGTTGACTCCTGCTTTCTCAAAAACAAGGCCATCCTTCATTACACAGCTGATTCCACCCCCTCCCTAACAAATAAAACAGCTTATGTTTTATATAATATCATATTGTGAAATTCAATTGAATTCTCCTCAAACTCATAAAACTCATGTGTGGCCCATTTGACTTAAGTTTGCTTTTGGATCGTATCTAAAAGTTCATAATAGCTAGAGGTTTGTATAAGCAATTCATTACTAAGTTCACTGCAATGAAACCAAAACTTCTATAGTAGTTGACTTATATGGTTTAGCTTGACAACATATACATGTATACGTTTACATGATATGATGTACATGTTTATTAATAAATAAAAAATATTATTTTTCAATCAAGTTCAATGAAAAGGATTTGGTTTGAATACTTCGGTGTACCAACATTATTACCCCTCTCCTTTAGTAATTTTACCAAATATCACAACCCACTTGATATGTTAAAAAATGTACATTTCATTGAAGTTGGACAAAATGTGTCTGACCTTAAGATATTCAAATCCCTGACCCCGAATTTTCATTTTGACTAAGAAGATGTGACTGAAACACAGGTTGTCAACCCAGCTAACTAGGTATCATCATTCATTCTGTCCATTACCTCTGCTCTTGTCCATCTGTCTACAAAAAATTTCTGGTCTCCATCAATTTCTTCCAGTTTTCTGCAAACTTCTGACTAAACGAACAAGTTTTATTTGAAAAGTAATATGCAACACAGTATTATGGGAAGAATATTCAATAATCATAAAGTTGAAAAAAGTCTCAGTGTTTCTGTTTAAACAAAGAAATAGGTCAGGGACTTTTTTATCAAAATACCTGGATTCTCATCACCATGGCTTCCATTTTATACTTCATGTCTGAACTCCTCTGAAATAAGAAACAAAAATCTTCAGATCTTATGGTACTATTCTAGAAAATCATCAAAAATTGAAACAATTGTATTAATGAAAAGGGTTTTTTTTTGCGTTTTCTTGATGAGGCACAAATTCTGAAAATACTCTGACAATGAGGAAAATATCTCACTCTTTTATGATGGTAAAAGTATAATGTCCATTCTGAATGTTGTTTAATTCAAAATATTGTGCTACTAATGAATCCACACTCAAAATATTTTGTGTCATAGATTGAATACATTCTGCATTGTAGAATTTGATTACATATAAAAGCAGGTAAATAAGATGAATTTAAAACATGAATTTAAAAAAATGAACAAAAATCTTCTGGTATAAAGCATCTTAATCTTGACCAGTCCTAACAAACATACATTTTCTAGAAGTGCCTTGTCTGTAATTGGATCAGCCATCCATTTTGATGAATCAAGTTTGCTACCACTGTTAGCAAATACCTAAAATGAAAGTTTATATAAAACATCAGAGTATCATAAGTGTATTTCTCAAACTGCATCAAAATCTCTAGTTCAGAACTTGAAATACTGCAGAATCATCATTGTTGGTGGGGGACCAATGTTCATGGATTTTATGGGTCACCCTTATGCACGAATTTACATCCCCGCCAATGTTTATCTTGTAGAAAATTGATTCATTGTATCTACCATATAAACGAGTAACCCACGAAATTACATCCCCACGAACAAGTAAAACTTAGCTTGCCCAAAAACATTGACTCCCATGAATTAAAATAATTCCACAGTATATATGTCTGTACAACTCAATTATTCTACTGTGAAGCTTGTTTATAGCAAACAAGGTTATAATGAATTTATATCAATTTTGAAGCAGAGATATGAGGAAGCAATATCAAATCTTCTTTGATAATGCTTCCTCATAACTTGGTTAAACTAAGAAATCAGCTTCAGAAACTTTTTTTTAACTGAAAATAGATTTTATAGCACTACAGATCGTAGCTGGTTTACTTGAACTCACCGTGTTGCTGTTGCTATGGTGACATATGATTGACACTCCAGCAATTCCAACTGACACAGCACCACATGACCTGTAACAAGCAAAATTAAAAAAATGAAAATGAAATAAACTTTGTATCAATGTACTAACTGAAGGATTTAGTTAATTTATGCAATATGTCATTAATCAGATCTCATGGTATAATACAAGCTCAGAACTGTAGCTCTCTGGGAAATAAAATTAAACATATACCATAGAGCTACAGATCCATCAACTGAAAAAAAAAATCCTCCAGTTTATGGCAATTAAATCTTTTTTCACTTGTACTCCTATTTATATACCTTTCAACAGCTCTAACTTGTGATTATTGTTAAAGTATAATTTATATAGTAAAAGCTGGTAAGATTTATGCCCCTTTATGTTAAGGAGTGAGATAGAAAATGTGACATTCCAAGGCCACAGAGGGCTGTCTGGAACCATTGAAAGGAAAAGGAAGTAACAATTGTTGGGGGGATATATATATTGTATTAAAGGATACCATGCTTTAGGCAGGGAAATGCAATATTTGCAAAAAATTAAAACCTGAAGTTTGCATAAGAGCTAGATTTTCTAATGCAAAGACCAGGGTCACCCCCCTCCCCTGCCTCTCTCTCTCTCTCTCTCTCTCTCTCTCTCTGTGTGTGTGTGTGTGTGTGTGTGTGATATTACCAGAAGAACAATTTCCTATGCCCCTGTTTCAATACAAACTGTGTACTGTAGCTGTAGGCAGTTCTCGCTCTTATCAAAGCTGTACGAAGGAGTTTCATTTTTGTTTACTCTCTGTCATTCTGCAAAGCAAATAATTCAACAGATGAAAATACAAGAATTTTTTTAAACTTTAAAATACATGGCATAAAATACAACTAGCTTTAGAGTGAACACTCTAAGGGAAATAACTCCTCTGAAAGACATAAATACAGTAGCACATATGGATGTTTTATTTCCATTTTACTTGCAAATTTCACTGCTATGAAATCCCACTAGAGACAAATTAGAATTTTTCCTGCAATTCTAAGTTGATAATTTTTTTTAATGAGATTGATATTAATTATTTTATAGTGAAGGATAATGCTCAGTGAAATTTGCAAGTTCCTCTACTCTGATACCAAAACCTTAATTAGACTATGTAATAACCATTGACTACAAATAATTGTATTTATATGCATTCTACCTTTATCATATGTCTAAAAATGTCTGGAAAAAATCCTGTTAGAAAACATATGATCCACTGACTATATAGAATATCCTGACACAACAATTGCATGACCTTTAAGTACTACAAGTACCCAATGACATGTTTTCTTTTGTTTTAAAACCTGTTTATGTCACTAATATACTTATTTCTGGTCAAACCAGTTAAGCCTGTACTTTACAGGTGCCGTATTTACCAGGAAACATGAATCATAGTATTCCTGTACTGTGGCCATCAAGTGATAATTCTCCTAACAAGTAGAGGTCATGCAGTTCTGATTACAAAAGTAAATATTTGTTATTTGAATCATATTCTTAAGTAAATGTATCAAGATTCTTCACAGAAATCTTTTATAAACATTTTTATTTCACATTAAATAAAAATAACTGCAAATGCACATCAGTATTAACAGTCATGCACAATATTTTGATATTTTCTGGTGTTAAAAAAACTATTGGTAATCTAATGTCTCTTTTTTTCAATGTACTGAAAAGTTTATCTTTATATTTTGTTATAAATCTTTATAAAAGAATTTAGTACAGTGTTTACATATATGTATTTGTCCTTCTTTTGTACCTTTATTAATTCCCATATACTACTTATAACGTGATATTGACTTTATACCAAACAGTGATAATTTCTTAAATTTCAAACAAATAAATTATATAATCTGATAATAGGCAATAAATTATAAAGATAATATACCATATGTTTAATGCATCATTCCTTTTGCCTTCTTAATTTCTGGTGTGTGTTTTTTTTTACCAAATATGGAAGACATCTGAGCATAAAAACACTTAGTACATTATACAATGTGTGTATATATATGATTGAATAATATGTGATTCAAACTGAGTCATCACTAAAAACAAAAATACATGTACATATTGTTATATCTTTAAATATTGTTTCCTATATAATTTAATACTAAAAAATATAGAAGTATGACCGCTCAGTAAAACCTTGGAAATGTTTACTGAGCGGTCATAAAAAAATTGATGTTTGACCGCAGAGGAGATATTGGACCAGTCGATGAGATGTTGGACCGCTTACGTCACAGTGTGGGCGAGGTCAGCTGTATCTTAATTGCATTCGTTGGAGTTGGACAGAACTTTACGGAATTGACCAAGTTTAAAACCGCAGTGCGGGTAAACAAAATTTACATCATGTTATGTCAAAATAAAAAGTAAAAGGTATAACAAAACAATTACTGACTGTGTTCTTGGGCAAAATGCGTTTTGTCGACCCCTTGATCCAAACTGCTTGCCTGAGGTCTAACGGCCTCAGGCAAACAGTTTGGTTCTAGGATCCGATAAACGCATGTTGCCCTCGAACCCAGTCAATAAATGTATAGTATTACATGTATATAAAAAAATATTAGTAAATTTCACTTACATTCTTTTTTTTTTTAAAAAATGTCAGCACCACCAAAAAAAAAGAATTCTGATTAAAACACTGGTAAAAAAATTAATACTTTGCAAATTTAGGAATTTCGACTTTACCTCCTATAGATTAACTGCATATCTCAAAAATGGGTATGTCTAATACTGTAGATCACCAAGTATTCACAACACCTTATTTTCACGAGATGGGTATATTGCATTTATAAGGGATCAGAGACAAAATTTTCACGAATTTTGACTATTTTCCTATATTATCTTAATTTACTAATAAAATATATTCGAGAAGGAAAATTTCACAAGGAGACAGTCTTGTATAATTGCGCGTAAAATAAAGTTCTCACGAATAAAAAATTATTAACAGTACCAAGCTTAAGGTTATGTCCAAGTGAGACACTGAGAGTGTCATTTTTGATTCTATAAGTTTAAAACTTTTCTATCTTTATGATTTGAATACCCAGATATCTCAAAATTACTGGTAAACCCCAATAAAAGAAAGTATATTGCTGAAGTTCATATCAAGTTTTCCTTGTAGAAATATGCAGGGGTTCCTACTTTATATCAATATTTGGTTTTATTTTTTTTTTATTTTTTTTTTTTTTATGCAACTAGGTGTATTGGTAAATTTAATTATCTTAGAACAATTAGACATTAATTGTCAGAGGAATACATGTTAAAGATAAAGGTTACTTTATTGCACCACACTTAAGAAATTGAAACTACCGTAAGACAAAAGAAGTCAGATTTAAGTGGCAAGGGATATATCCAGCCCTTAAGATTTTCAGACTCTCTCTAAACCCCCCCCCAACCCATTCAAGCTGGAAAAGAGGTCCCCTAAGTATTTTTCATGATGCAGAGCAGCTTTCATTCCCACAAATATAAGGATATCAGGGAATTATACATTAAATGAATCATTTTCTGATTCCCCCTTTTCCAATGATTTTTTTTCTCTTTGATTGTACTAAGGATATTTCTCAGTATTACAAGCCTGAATGATTCTAACAATCTCTGAAACCCCAATCCTTCTTTAGGTTTGAGGGTCCCCTTCATTGCACTAAATCCATTAAAGAAATATGGTACAATAGTAAATTCATGAAAGGGGGACATTACCAGGTAATATTGGGTCTCACAAGATCCCCAAGCACATAAAATCCACATGTTACTAGTCCACATAGCTACAACTTAATGTAACTATTAAAGGTATAGCATATAAGTAAGCTACATGTACATATACCATAATCCTCTACACAGGGGCTCTGAGAGTTCAGTTAAATCATTATGAAGTGATAAAAATGTACCACTGTGATGAAAATTTTAAATATTCAAACCAAAAATAAAAAAAATTGACTCAATTCTTCATCATAATCCTAAAAATGACAGGACAAACAAGTTGGTTTGCTTAACATAATACTGAGAGGCAAATGAAAATTTTTTTTAAAAAAAAGTAAAATAGGAGGTGCACAATGGCACTATGCTACAAAAAAATCTGTGAAAGCCTCATTTTAAATTTCATTCTGTGGTATAAGAGGCCGGTGTTGCGGATAAGAGATGGGTACCCCAAAACACAATGGACGGAAGAACGGACACCCCCATCACTATACACCTTCCGCTTTTCAAACGGGGAGTTTTAAAATATAAAGTAAAAATTGCCAGAAATGTGTGCGATTGTGCCACAGAAAGGCAAAGCCATTGTATGGGTTCATTTTGATGCATAACTATTATTAAATCAACAAGATGTTTTTTCTACGTCCACTTATCATGATGATATGTACATTCTCCATGTAAATGGAAGTTAATAAAATAAGAAAATACCATTTTAATTTTTATTGAAAATATTGCAATACATATCGCAATACAGTTAAAATATCGCAGTACATATCGCAATTCGAAATCTCTAGCAAATGCCCACAGACCCAGCCCTACCGACGAGTGAGACCAAAGCGAGAGCTTTCTGAAAGTACGCTAGTCATAAATATATTAAAGGGAGATTATATTAGACAAAAAAAATTTCTACATGTAAAACAGGAGCACATGCTTGATCTGTTGATATGGGAATCGTGAATGACACATCATCACTTTTTTTGACATGCTGAGGTACTCAGTACAATATCAGTGTAAAATGCATATAACTGAAACATTCTCAGAAAAAATTATCGAAGGTAGTGTCATAAAGTCTGAAAATTAAACTTGGAAACCTCCATATGTTAAACTTACAGACTGTCAATTCTTACACACAGGGCGCTGCCATATTTGTTTACATTTGTTTTTAAGATTTATTCTACCAAAACGAAGAAAGGATACAGTCCCTCAATATTTGGTACATGTACTTGCTTTTCCATATTTTCTTTAAAGGAATATGGTGTTTTCAGACTATCAACAATCAACCTCATACTTTTTTGGCACATTGATAATGTATATAGTGATATTTTAGATGTCAATGAAAGTAAATACTACATGTATTTACATGATTTAGATTAATGATGAGATGCCCTTTACTATGCAGAGGAAAAATTATTTGTGTTTTTTTTTTTTAATTTTATAAATACAGTAAATATGTAAACTATTAAATCTACAAAAATCATTTTATTCGATTAATTTGTTTCGAAAACTAGTTTTTCAAATAATGTGTAAGAATAAGAGTGAACAATCTAACAATGAAAATGATCTCCGATGCAATCTTATACCCCGTAAACTCCCAATAATGATTGCTTTCTTATAACCTACCCTAATAATTATCCGCACCCCGACTATCATGACTATCCCTGTATATAACGGTATCAGGTTCGTTCGCCCTGTCTACCTGTTCGCATGAGTCCGTTCGCGCAGGGTCCGTTCGCCATTATTCTCGTTCGCCCTATATCTCGTTCGCCCTATTATATATATATACAGTATATAGTAAATATCAACATTTATTATTAATTTTATTCAATATTTTACGACTTTGTGTTTTTTTTCAAATGTTGCTACGGGTATTTTTTTTTTATTTACCGTAATCTTAATTAAATAATTCAAATTTGATATTTATGCTCTTTACATGCTTAATTGATTTAATTATACTTAATAATGTCACTGTAATTTAGGGGATCATACAATCTGCGTTATGTTTTGAAAACAATTAAAGGACTGAGACGTTAATTTTCTGTTGGTCTGCCGGGTCTTTGATAGTACAGGTACCACATGCATACGTCTGTTGTCTCCCGTGCGCAATTTATGTACCAAAGTACATATAATTTATTTTAAAAAATCCATTGGGTCATTATTCAACTTTCTGCAATATAAATAAGGCGAACGGACCCTGGGCGAACAAGTTTTAGGGCGCTCGAACTCTGGGCGAACGGGAATTAGGGCGAACGGCGTCAAGGGCGAACAAGTTTTAGGGCGCACGAACATACAACCGTATATAACATACTTGAAAGCGCATATTCGTGGAATCACCTAAAAACACTATTTCCACCCTCACAATTTCAATGGTTCAAAGTACAAAAACTGCATTTATTTTCACTTAATATAGTTTAAATTTACCAATTATTGGAAAAATATATACATATATATATTGGTTACCATATTTTTTAAGATGAGAGACTTAACATCTTCGCTAGCCAAGGTTTTCTGATACGCTACTCTCCTCATAAGCCCTTGGCATACGGTGCCGGTTAAAAAAAGTTGGGATTTTTTTTCTCAAGTTGTGATTGGAGTTGATCGACATAATCAGCAATTGTTTTTTTGTAAATGACGGTATTTGCGTTAAGGATATATCTTGACTCTTTAATATCGGTAATGTAAAACGCAAGTAACACTGAGTAAACCATGATCCGTAAGATAACATGTTATTCAATGAATAGCTATATGGTGCCATTCGATATCTAAAGCTACGTGCAAAATATGTGATTAAGAATCTATACTGAAGATGTAGATTTGCATTTTTACATGTTTGAATAACAAATTAACATAACTCAATACCTTCTTGTTAATTATTCTTTAAAAACAAATTTTTTTAAATACCTGGTAAGAATCATGATCACGTGACAAAAACAATCCCGTCTTTTGTCAGCACCACAGGAGTTCGCATACCTATCAATTTTACCGAAATTTTCAGTAAATATAAAAAATACGTAATACCTATAATAATAACACATTATTATTATAGGTATTACGTATTTTTTACATTTACTGAAAATTTCGGTAAAATTGATAGGTATGAGAATTTCTGTGGTCAGCACCGTATGCCAAGTGTTTATGAGGAGAGTAGCGTATCAGAAACCCTTGGCTAGCGAAGATGGAGACTTAAATAAACAGATCTATATGTCAACATAAAAAAAAACAGATTGTACATTTTTAGTACACAATATTATAAAAATTATGTGAAAACTGGTTCAATTGCATAATTCTGATGCTGAAAGTTCCAAAATACTTACTACTTACAAGATATTTTGAACTGTGAATATGGGGGACACTATTTTACATTAGAAGTACAATCAAGAAAATGCCTGAATGTAGATACCTGAGAAGGATTTATTGCCCTAGTCAACATTAATTTTAAAAAGATTGAATAATTGATTAAATAAAGAAAATAAACATTTTTTTTTAAATTCTTCTACTTAACAACATTTATCATTACCCTACTGAAAAGCATTCTTTCAAAATATATTGTTCTTTTGGGTATGAATTTAAATTAAAACCAGAAGTCTCTGATGAGACTGTAGCTCTACTGGTCTGTACGTATAACAAAGGAAAAGTAGCACTTTGATTTGAAACTTTGCAACAAGAAACAATAAACAGAATTATGTATCTTAATGTAGTCTACTTCTGTGCCAGATTAAATTGAAATCAAACGAAAACTGTAGGAGGAGTAGCATTTTGAAAGTATTTCACAGAAATTTCTATTTTTAGTAACCATGACAACACCATTCACTGAAATCAAAAACCGAAATATATATAATGTATCTTAGTGTATTCTTATTGTGTGCCAAATTAGACTGTAATCAGACCAAAACTGTAGGAGGAGTAACGTTTTAAAGGGATTTCACAGAAATTTCTATTTTTAGTAACCATGACAACACCGTTCATCGAACTCAAAAACCGATGCACTAAATTATGTATCTTAGTGTAGTCTACTTGTGTGCCAAGTTGTACTGAAATCAGACCAAAACTGTAGGAGGAGTGGCGTTTTATAGGAATTTCACAGAAATTTCTATTTTTAGTAACCATGGCAACACAGTCCATCGAAATCAAAAACCGATGCACTAAATTAAGTATCTTAGTGTAGTCTACTTGTGTGCCAAGTTATATTGAAATCAGACCAAAACTGTAGGAGGAGTAGCGTTTTAAAGGAATTTCACAGAAATTTCTATTTTTAGTAACCATGGCAACACCGTTCATCGAAATCAAAAACCGATGCACTAAATTATGTATCTTAGTGTAGTCTACTTGTGTGCCAAGTTATATTGAAATCAGACCAAAACTGTAGGAGGAGTAGTGTTTTATAGGAATTTCACAGAAATTTCTATTTTTAGTAACCATGACAACACCGTTCATCGAAATCAAAAACCGATGCACTAAATTATGTATCTTAGTGTAGTCTACTTGTGTGCCAAGTTATATTGAAACCAGACCAAAACTGTAGGAGGAGTAGCGTTTTAAAGGAATTTCACAGAAATTTCTATTTTTAGTAACCATGACAACACCGTTCATCGAAATCAAAAACCGATGCACTAAATTATGTATCTTAGTGTAGTCTACTTGTGTGCCAAGTTATATTGAAATCAGACCAAAACTGTAGGAGGAGTAGCGTTTTATAGGAATTTCACAGAAATTTCTATTTTTAGTAACCATGGCAACACAGTCCATCGAAATCAAAAACCGATGCACTAAATTATGTATCTTAGTGTAGTCTACTTGTGTGCCAAGTTATATTGAAATCAGACCAAAACTGTAGGAGGAGTAGCGTTTTAAAGGAATTTCACAGAAATTTCTATTTTTAGTAACCATGACAACACCGTTCATCGAAATCAAAAACCGATGCACTAAATTATGTATCTTAGTGTAGTCTACTTGTGTGCCAAGTTATATTGAAATCAGACCAAAACTGTAGGAGGAGTAGTGTTTTATAGGAATTTCACAGAAATTTCTATTTTTAGTAACCATGGCAACACCGTTCATCGAAATCAAAAACCGATGCACTAAATTATGTATCTTAGTGTAGTCTACTTGTGTGCCAAGTTATATTGAAATCAGACCAAAACTGTAGGAGGAGTAGTGTTTTATAGGAATTTCACAGAAATTTCTATTTTTAGTAACCATGACAACACCGTTCATCGAAATCAAAAACCGATGCACTAAATTATGTATCTTAGTGTAGTCTACTTGTGTGCCAAGTTATATTGAAACCAGACCAAAACTGTAGGAGGAGTAGCGTTTTAAAGGAATTTCACAGAAATTTCTATTTTTAGTAACCATGACAACACCGTTCATCGAAATCAAAAACCGATGCACTAAATTATGTATCTTAGTGTAGTCTACTTGTGTGCCAAGTTATATTGAAATCAGACCAAAACTGTAGGAGGAGTAGCGTTTTATAGGAATTTCACAGAAATTTCTATTTTTAGTAACCATGACAACACCGTTCATCGAAATCAAAAACCGATGCACTAAATTATGTATCTTAGTGTAGTCTACTTGTGTGCCAAGTTATATTGAAATCAGACCAAAACTGTAGGAGGAGTAGCGTTTTATAGGAATTTCACAGAAATTTCTATTTTTAGTAACCATGACAACACCGTTCATCGAAATCAAAAACCGATGCACTAAATTATGCATCTTAGTGTAGTCTACTTGTGTGCCAAGTTATATTGAAATCAGACCAAAACTGTAGGAGGAGTAGCATTTTGAAAAATTGTTTACAGACAGACGGACACCATACTATCGCATAAGCTCTTCTGGTCTCTGACCAGTAGAGCTAAACATGCAGTTTTTGCAAAAACCTATGACATCATATAGGAGGATGGAAATACCTATAGCCGGATAGAATAACAACATTTCTGTTTAATACAAAGAAAACCGAGAGAAACTATAGTCTATAACAAGAGTTGTCTCACATATAAAACCGCATAGAATTAACACCCTCTTTTCATTTGTCATAATTATTGCCTGACGCCACGTGCGTCAGGCAGTATAAGGATTAATATTTCAGGGATCCGAAACTAAGCGATCATTCTTAATGAACTAGATTTTCTGCAAGCTGATTTACGTCGGAATTTGTTACCTGCATTTAAACAAATACAGTTTGTAGAAGAAAGAATCATATAACTGATGCAAAATAATGATGTGTTTAATTCCTTCAATTTTTTTGCATGCACATATTTATTCTTTGCGATTCTTTGTACGAACATGTCCGTGTAACATTTTTTCTGCGTTTCTAAACTACTGGATCAGTCCATTTGCCTTCTACAAAAGGGGTGACACAATCATTTCGCGCCAAGTGTCACATGTAAATTATCTTCGCGCCTTTTTCTTGGGTTGTTCTATTGAATGGGTGTGATAACTTCTATGGAAATAAAGTTTATTCTTTTAACATGATTCTTAAGCTCCAGATTTTTTATTAACAGTAAATTTTATCTCATTTTTTAAGAGAACACATTGTATATGGACAAGCAACACTAAAGCAATGAATTTGCTGATTATTCTTACTATTTATTCCATAAGTGGACTAGTCTAATCATAAACAAACTCCCTCCACCCAGTAAATGGGACATCCCTTCTTGATTCTGTTTTCCACCTTTCAACATTACATTTATTAATAATGTACGTTACAAGGTAAGGGTTTTTTAAAAAAGCGTAGAAAGTCAGCGAGTAGCATATTATTTCATGCTTTGTGAGGAACAAGGGTTTCCTTTTAATACAGTGACAAGAGTGTAGGTCAGTACCCGTAGCGGAATGGGCTTCAATCCCGTGAGGTTCTAAGTAAAGAATCGGCAAAATGAAGAAGACATCAATATCTGTACTGGTTTTCATTTCATAAAAAAGCACATTATTTTAATTATGAGAAAGGTCCTGAAATCGAATGAAAAGAAAAACTTACAATTTCAAAACTGTATATAAAGATGTATTTTAAGCTCATTTATAATACATGTATATAGTGAGACCATCATCGCGTGAGTTTTGTCCGGGGGGGGGGGGGGGGTTATTAGTATCTTGTTTTGCGCTAGCTATAAACATGATAAAGTGTACAGGTTATTTACTTTGATTTCTAGAGTAGCATTGAAGCATTTTTGTCTCAAACACTTCAAGACAACTTTCCCAGTTAAAACTGTTCATAATTTACTACGACGGAAAACAGACCAGTCTATAAATAGAGGCCGTCTCATCAATCTATCACTGACCATGAAGAAGTGCGCCATCTAGTAAGAGAGAACATGTAATATGAATTTCTTTAAAACGAATCATCTAACTATTTTCCCAGAATTATCAGTGGCGGATCCAGGAATTTCATAACGGGAGGGCGCAGTAGAAGGCATGGGGTCTGGGGGGCTGTATTGAAACCTCAGTGGGTCCAGAGCAAAGCTCTGATTCGCCCCCGGAAGATGACGAATTCTTACAAATAAGAGGTGTTTTTTCCTTGATTTTAGGATAATGAACATATAAGTTCTACATACAAAAAATTCAAACGGGGGGGGGGGGGGCGCACGCCCGGCGCGCCTGTGCTGGATCCGCCTTTGATTATAATCTACGCTATAGCGCACTTGCAGTTTCATCCCAACGTAACTAGTCAGCCCGTGGGCTAACTAATAAATGACCAAATAGTGGCATGTCTCAGATATTCGTTAATTTGTAGTATTTGGTTATGAAATTTGAGAAAGTCAACTGTAAATCTTGTATAATGAAGTATCGCAACTATGTCGCTCCTTGATGACGGAAACGTTTAGCACCTCTCCTGCATATACGTTCCATAGATATTGATTGATTAGTCAGGCAAGCTTTTTCAAAAGCTATTACTTGTTTCGTTATTTAAAAAGTGGTTGAAATTACGGTGTCGTATTATAGTTATATGAGTATTACAATGTGATAAATTTTCTTTAAAAATTGTTAACTTAAATCACGTAGTTATTACTGACCATATCACTTTCCTCGTAGGAAGACATTATTTCAATAAGTCGAATTTTTTTTCTAGGAATATATCTTGGAGATCCACTTTTCCCAAGATTCCAAGATCCAAGATCATTATGTTTCCAAATGCATTTAATTTTTTAATTTAGTATGGAACCCCAACCCCTTAAAAAAAATTCCTGTATCCCCGCATGAGTTTAATTAAACATTTCAGTGTCCAGAGAAGATATCTCGTAAATGACGTCATATCAAGTTAAATATATCACTAAATAAATCATGGATGTATTCCGATTGTGTTTACTCGAAAATTACTTTCGGTACGTATATATATAGGCACAGCTACATGTATATAGCGGCTAAAATGATGTTTGGTGTTATTAGAACGCAAGTTTAGAGATTGTGTATATATGTCTTTATCGACATAATTTTGTGCCCTTGCAATTTTAAATGTCGATATATTTTTGAGATAAAGGCTAAGCTCATATGACATTAATATTCAAATTGATGCCATGCATTTCCTACTTCCCCAATGCATTTGACAAAGTACCATACCAGCGACTGGCTAAAAAACTAGTAACTGGTTGACAAGGATGAGGTCATCAGCATTACACAGAAAACGAAAATCATCCAGGGGAACAACATTATTCACAACCAGGTATTGAACACGACCAGCGACGCCAAGTACACTGTACCTGGGTGTAACTACTACCACAAACAATTTTAGCTGGAACCACCGGCACATAGTTCATGCATGTGTTTAAGAAGGCAAACTCCACCACAGTCTTTCTTCGGAAGAATCTTCCATTCTGTTCCCCCGGAAAACAAAAGCCATCTGCAACAGATCGATGGTCAAACTCTAACTGTAATATGCCTGTTCTGTGTGGGACCCCTGTAACCCAGAGCACCATCAACAAGCTGGAGGTGGATGTACAGCGCAGGGCAGTCCTGGCGGACGACCTGGCTCCGGGACCAATGGAACCTGCTGAATTATGAATCTTCATCTGGTGGTCAGGCTTCGGGACCATAAAACTTAGAAGAGCTCATATTTGATCTCAGTCTCACTTTTCCACTATTTATTTCTTTGGTAAAAGTGAGACTGAGATCAAAAGTGAGCTAGTCTAAGTTTTATGGCCCCGAAGCCTGGCCACCAGATGATGATTCATAATTCAGCAGGTTGCATTGGCCCCGGAGCCAGGTCGTCCACCAGGACTGCCCTGCGCTGTACATCCACCTCCAGCTTGTTGATGGTGCTCTGGGTTATGGGAATCACTAAAGGAGTGTAGTTGTTTTCAAGATTTTATATCCCTAGTAGTCACTCGATTCATCTTCATCTTTCTTCCATCCTATCGGTGAGCATTGCTACTATAGGGGCCATCAACATAACTGCGAATCCCTTATGCCAGAACAGACTGAGACACTTTCAAAGGATCTTTTTTTTCCATCTGGGATCTGTAGTCTGTGGAACATTGACACCCTTGACTCAAGTTATATCCAAGTCAGGGTTGACAAAGATCAACAAACATTAAGTGACAGTACTCTTTAACAAGTTTTTAAAAATGTTGTAAACAGAGGACTCTCCTTTGCGCTTTTGTCCTTTTTAAAACAAACATTAAATGCGCTGATGCCAACAAGGCTCTGCATTTTAATGGCAGAAGAAGTTACAGCTAGATGGGAAAGGGGGGGGGGTGTTTGAATTTTGTGTACGAGAATTGTCATGTTTTTCTCGGCATATATTGTATACGTATAGACGAATTGGTAAAAAAAAAGTTACCTTAAGCATTGATTTTTTTTTAATTCATAGTTTGAAGTTATTGTTGGAATTCTGCCATTTCTTTTATGTATGGCTACACATGTAACACTATAGTTACGAATTTGTGTAACAGAATATATAGGGAATAAATAGATCGACCTGATATAAAGTTGTTTTGCTTTCAGGAAATTACATGTAAGGTAATCAGTTCAACAAGTGGTATCTTGGGGGGGGGGTATTTTAATGATTCCAAGGAAAATGCACTGCATAAACCGAATATATCAAGTAGGGACCTACTGGAACTTATATTTGTGACCACTGTATAAACTAATAGGTCCCTGCTTAAACATTCATGACTACATTTTAAAAGTACCAATATATTCGTTTTATAAAATTAAAAATCGTAAATTTGGATCATTAGTTATTTAGAGCATAGCGGGATATCCATCCGGGCCTTTGCTATATTATTTTCCCAGCAAACCGCAATGATAATATATTGCAGAGACATAGATTATGTGATTTCGTCGACAAAATGGAAGTGTTTACTTCAGCGGAGTGGGCACTGATTCAGACTCGATGTCTAAGATGAAGAAGACATTGAATAGGGTGCTTACAAAATTTGAGCAACTGAAAGCACCCCCAAACGCAGATTGTGGGGTGGAAGAAACATTGCGCACCGATCATTTTCAAGTGTGCAAGGTAATTTGACGTCTTCGTTATTTTGATTGTCATTTACAGATTTATATAAGCATTTCTACGTCAATATCTCTTTCTATTTATTTTTCATTTTTATGGCAATGTTGACTTTTTGGAATTGTGAATCTTATTGCAGACGGTCAGATATGGATTTCCATACGAGCCGACATCAGTAGCATTCGATCCTGTTCAGCATCTCCTAGCGATTGGCACAAAATCAGGGTCGCTACGAATGTATCCTTCTAAATTTATTTTAACAGGGAGGATTAAAAAAAAACAAATTAGTTAGCAATCTGATTTGGAGCCCATTGTACACGACTGGAAAGGAACGGTGAGTAAGTGGCCTTGATATTATGGAGAGTAGCTGTTACATTTCATGTTTAGCAAATCAATATATTGTGTGTATTGCTTTATCAGATGTGAAGTAGAACGAATGGTCAATATAATTGTGTCTAAAATGACAGTCAGCTCTTACTGAGCAATTCCAGCTTGTTCACAATGAAATAATGAGTTTAAAACTTGTAAGTTATTATAACAAATGATTAATGTGATAAGATCTCTGTCTGGGTTCATAGATCTAACTTACTATGAATAAGAATAGGAAGAGAAAGTAATTAGTTCCTTAAATACATGCACTATATATTATTTGTGTAAAAGTTGAGTGAATAACTTAAAAAAAAAGATTGTATTAGTTGCATAATGTTTAAAATGAATTGAATGATATTTGAAAGAATTTATTCCTATTCTTGCTGTACTCAGTAGAATTAATTTTAATTTTTAGCTCTACTGGTCAGAGACCAGAAGAGCTTATGCGATAGTAAGGTGTCCGTCGTCCATCTGTCTGTCTGTCCGTCTGTCTGTAAACAATTTTTCAAAACGCTACTCCTCCTACAGTTTTAGTCCGATTTCAATATAACTTGGCACACAAGTAGACTACACTAAGATACATAATTAAGTGCATCGGTTTTTGATTTCGATGGACGGTGTTGCCATGGTTACTAAAAATAGAAATTTCTGTGAAATTCCTTTAAAACGCTACTCCTCCTACAGTTTTGGTCCGATTTCAATATAACTTGGCACACAAGTAGACTACACTAAGATACATAATTTAGTGCATCGGTTTTTGATTTCGATGGACTGTGTTGCCATGGTTACTAAAAATAGAAATTTCTGTGAAATTCCTTTAAAACGCTACTCCTCCTACAGTTTTGGTCCGATTTCAATATAACTTGGCACACAAGTAGACTACACTAAGATACATAACTTATTGCATTGGTTTTTGAATTCGATGAACAGTGTTGCCATGGTTACTTAAAATAGAAATTTTTGTGAAATTCCTTTAAAACGTTACTCCTCCTACAATTTTGGTCTGATTTCAATCTAATTTGGCACACAGTTAGAATACACTACGATACATAATATGTATTTCTGTTTTTTTTTATTTGGGTGAGTGGTGTTGTCATGGTTACCGGTACTAAAAATAGAAATTTCCGTGAAATACTTTCAAAACGCTACTACTCCTAGTTTTCATTTGATTTCAATATAACTTGTCACAAAAGTAGACTACATTAAGATACATAATTCTATTTATTGTTGCATGTTGCAATGTTTCAAATCCAAGTGCTACTTTTCTTTTGTTATACAAACAGACCAGTAGAGCTACAGTCTCATCAGAGACTTCTGGTTTCCTTTGGAATCATTAACATGATTAAACATGTATGTAAGAGGAAACTATATGCTAAAAAAAACAGAAAAAGGGATCAGCTTCTCTTGCAGCTAAGACTTTTCAATGACAAAATGAAATGATTTATGGCATTTGCCATTTAAATGAAATACTATAATTAGAAAAATATTTTTTAAAAGAATCGAAGAATATACCATGATTTCAAGTATGTGTTGTTAAGACAAGCCCTGGCAGTGTTTTTGGTAAAATATTTGACACGTACCATATAAAGTATACATGATGCATTTATAATCATACATCTTGTGTAGGTTATCAAGTCATGAGGTCATACTTTAAACAAAAATTTATGAATCATGGTAACAGTTTCATAATTACTCATGATGATAAAAAGAATAAGAGATTAAGGATATTTTTATATTATGAATTCTGATACTTATCTCTTTAAGTGTTTTATAAGTGGTTAAGGGGACTTGAAGTCATTGATATCAACTAATAATGTATAATATGCTGTTCTTTTGATTCAGCGTCTAAAGGTACTTTGTAATATTGTTGTGGATTTCAAACTCCTATCAATCAGATATGACAGATGATAGCTCTTAACATTTTTTTTTATTGCATTAAATGATTGTTCACTTAACATGCTTTTCTTCACCATTTTACAATAGGTATACTTCTAAAGCTTTTAATAGTTCATGAAGGGGTTTTCTGTGATAAGTTGTGATAAAATGCAGCTCATGTATAAATTATGATGGAATACTGAAATTTCTCTCTGAGTTTTGTTGTCCCTCTCTTTTGCAAATGTGCAGAACATTACCATGATTAGATCTCTTTCCTCTGTCTGTCAGTCTGTTGTTGGTCACAAAACACTTCTAACCTTGGTCATAACTAGACTGAGAGAGGACAGGGCTTTTCATATTTAAAGTGTGCATTAATTACCAAGACAAGACCTCTCTCAATATTTTTTTGAATTTTAACCCCATGACCTTGACCCTGAAGATTGACCTACATGCCCCAGTGGAAAATATCTTCATTTTGGCAGGAAATCTTTAAACCCAATAGATATAGGTTAGGGGGACACAAAATATTTAAGAATTTCATTAACATTTAAACAATGTTAATGTAAAAAAGAAAAACTTAACTGAGTCTGATATGAATATAATTTTTTTTAATAAGTTTCTAAATGTAATTTGTAATTTAATTAATTACTTTTCTATGTAATTGACCCCATCCCTGGCCACATAGACCATATTGCACCCTAACCAACAAGACCCTGAAAGTGGGGGACTACAGTTCTCTGAATTTGCTTGTTAAATATCATGTTCATATCAATGACATGCCAAATACAGCTTTCACTTGTTATACATGTATTGATTTCTAAAGGCAGGGTTAGCAAGTATTTGGGAGGTGTTCTATTGTATGTATATGTTACTTTTACCAGCAGTTTTAATCATACATATGTAATATAAATATATAGGATATGTGATTTCCTTACAAAATGTGTTGAAAGCTTTGGCATTTTTAACCCCATGACACAGACAAGGAGGTCAAAAGGTTGAGTAATGAATTTATTTAACACAAGCCTTGAATGTTGTACTAGTGCAAAGTCACAAGCCAAAATCAAAATTGATGATTGCTGCATCAAATTAGCTATACAAATACAGTGTAAACTATTTAAACAGGCATAATTTATTACAAGGGGAGAAGTGATATTTAATCAATTAGAAATGAAACTGATAAACACATGATAAATGTATGCAAATTATGAATTGAATGACCCTTTTTCATCATTAGGTATTAATTTTACACCTTTGTTGGATTTTTTTTTCTTTTCTTTATGGTTCTATATCTTCATTTCAATTAATTTAAAACATATTTTATTCAATATTTATACAAAATACCTAAACATGATCGGACAACAGGCTGGTTTATTAGACTTGAAGCATCTTAAAGGTAATTTTTAACCCCCCCTCCCCTCCTGTCTCTCTCTCACACACACACAAAATGAACTCAATTTTTATTCCTATTTGATAGAGTTGATTTAAATATTAACCATTCCTTTTGAACTAATGATAATGAAAATAGAGTTCAGAGGTCATACAATAGGCAGTATAGTTTTATGAAGGCATAACCCTCGAGTTTACTTGTTATTATTGACAAAACATTGGCAAATATAAACATGATAAATCATGATATCATAAGTATTTAGTATTGAGCATCATAAAAAAGATTGGAAGATAATTACTTAATATGGTCATACCTGTAGATCTTAAGACTGAACCAATTAAGATCGTCCTAATTCAAGTGCAAGTACATCAACTTCATCAAGTTCACATGTACTTTAATCCATTACATTAGTTTACCATTAATTTAACCATATGAGGAATTAATTCAAAATTAAGATATGATTTAAAAACATCTGTTTATAATAATGCTATAAATGGAAAGTAAGTGTGGTGTTTATGAGTACTTAGTTAATATCCTTTTACTGACCAGAGACTGATAATCAAAATTTGATTTCAATTTTTGTATTCTATTTTGTGAATGCCACACAAAGCTCTACCAATTAACACTTTAGAGAATGGCATCTCAGAATAAATTTTGGAGCTCTGCAGGATTAAAGTGTAGATCTTTTAAGTCTCCTGCATAGATACAGTTTTAAGAATTTATCCCTGTACATGTGATAATGAATGTTATTTTAATGATAGACATGGGCTGTGTTTTAATGAAATGCAAGGTCAAAGTCAATATGCAATTGAACAAACATGTAATGTAAAAAATTTCTTTATATGCAGAAAACATATGAATTTATGATGAACGAGATGTATGCGCTGAATTATTTAAATGTTGCATAGGTACAAGACTGATGTAGGAAGAGAAACATGAAGAAAATCAGAATCTCCTAGTGGACATGAACGAATTTCCAAGGTTTTTTTTATTCTCCAAATTTCTTGTGATTAATAAATTATAAAGGCTTGATTGTTATTCACAATGTCTACCTAAAAATACACGGTTTTCCCATTTTTCTTTTTATCTCTACTTTCTAAAATGAGGAACTCCTACATAATTATTAATTTGCTAGTACACATGTTTTTAATAATACCCTTTAAATTAATTATCACCATGCAATGAGTATGAACTTTTAGGTAACTAAATTAACATTAAAATGACTTTTAAATAATATATATATTATAACAGTTAAAAAATGTCCAATATTGCATGCTTCGATTTTATAAGGTAGTAAATTTGTGTATGTGGCGTGATTATAAGGAAGAAATTGAAATGTTGCTAAGATGTTAACCATTTATCATTTATGTACTATGTAAACAGTTATCTTAAACACATACGTAACAGACATACATATATATTATATGCATATGACAACAGTTTTAACAATTAGCACCTAGTCATATGATATTTTATAAATAATTTAAAAAGTATTTATCACATAATTTTTATCTCCTGCAGAGAGATTGAAGTGTCTGGAAATAGAAGTGGTACCAAATATAGATATGATGGATGTACGTGATAATGTACAGGATTTTTATTGTAC